TATGTTTTGATCACATCCTTCGATTGTGCTTGTTAAAGATATCAGCGAAATGCATGACTTATTTTGTCCAAGAAATGCAGAAAGGAAGGAAGAAAGGGGATGTCTGACACCCTCCCTGACTTTTCCTGTTTAATACACTTACTTCCCTCCCTCTCAACCCCATTGTTCTATCCATTTAACATTTCCCCATCTTCCTCCATGCCCGGTGCTTGGAGCTCTCATGGATACCACACGGTAAAGTGGTTGGCTAAGTGTGGATGAAGGTGCTTGGGCAAGTAAAGGATGCCCCAAGACGGTATACAATTGAGCAGTGATTTGCAGGGACCTGTTCTACGTGCCAAAATTAGAGAAAAACCCCTTCCAGGGGAGCCGGGGTTAGGTGGGGAGGGAGGGGACCCCTGAAGCAGTGGGGTGAATGTACATCGAAGAACTGGGAGTATTTTAATCAGTGTAGACAAGGAAGGAAGAGGGAAATTCCACAAGGAGGGGATCATAACCAAAGGCACAGTATCAGAAATTCACCAAGAATATTGGGGAAATAAGAAGGACTAATTATAGCTGCTACTTGTTGAAGAGCTTCGCTTTACCACCAAGAGATATAAGCATCTATTTCCCTAATTAACCTTCAGGATATCTCCTCATTATGCGGATATGGAAAGGAAGTCAGGGGGGAAATAAGGGACCTTGTAAGCTCTCCCAACTAACGAAAGCAGAGCTGGACTTGGAATCCAGGTCCATAGCTCATGAACTTGCAAACTACACCATAATGCCATTGCCCTGGGTTCATGCAGATGGGGTTGCAACAGGGGTCTTAAAGGCCTTTTCAGCAAAAGGCAGGATATCAACTAATCAAGTAATTAACTAATTAAAACAGAGCTAAGGGGCTGTTTAGAAATACTTATTTCTAAACAGGTGATATAGAATGAAAAGTTGGGGGACCAGAACACAGAGAACTTGAGTAATAAGGGGTATCAATTTACTGCAAGTAGAGAAGTCATTAGAATTCTTAAAAGGACAACTTCGTGAATGTGGAACAAACGTTGTTAGAAGACTATTCTGGCCATGACAAACAGGATGAGTTAAGTGCGAACCAACAGCAAAATAGCAAGTAAGAGATTATTAGGATAGTGTGTTCGTTCTAACAGGGGACCCTTTAAATGTCCCTATTAAGAGACAGTAGGGAGGACAGAATTTTTAAAATATTCAAGAGACATTACAGAAGAAATATGCTTAAGCCTAGAGTCTAATAGGATGAAGATTTGAGCAAGGTGAGCAAGAGAAAGAAGAAAGGTTGTAGGGGTCACGCCTTGGTCCTGGGAAAATGGTTCTGTGGCAGTCTGGAAGGAGGGGAGGGTGGTCAGCTAATCAGTACAGTACCTTTGCGTTTGCGATCAGGTGGGATATGCAGACATGGTGACATTTGCAGGGCAATGACAGAGGAACAGGGATTCAGAGCAGAGACCCAAACCTTGGGCATTAGAGCCACCCAGTTAAGAGCTTGGACTCAATCAGACAAAGCAGACCAGGATTTGACACCTACACCTATCTTAGCCTTGGCTCTGCCTCTAAAAATGAAATAATCAACGTTCCTTGTTTACAGGGATGATTGGAGCATTCAAATGCACAGTAACTACTCAGTGTCAGCTCTGGTTTTTGAGGCATGTGCGTATTTGGGGAGAAAGAAGAGGAAAGGTGGCAGAGAGGACACAGATGAGGGAAAAAAATCAGAGAAATTTACAAAGACTTAGAAAAGTGCTACTTGATATAGGCCTGGAGGGTCTTTAGGAGAGATTGATAAACAAAGGAGGGTGGGGTCAGAAAGGACCACTGGCAGTTGCAATGGGCAAGGCAGACTAAAGAAGGCGAAGTCAGATTTCAGGGGGTCATAATGTCACAATGCAGACAGTGGTGTGGACAATAAGACAGGAGTAAAAGGAATGAGAGACCTAGAAAAGATATTTATTTGCGATATCTAGAAGACTGGACTGTGACTGAAAGCAGAAGTAAGCCAAGTAAGGTTCCGGTGAAAAAGGAAATACGACATATACTTGGGAGAAAAATGGTAATTAAGGGACAAAACCCGAGATGGAGGCAGAGAGTCCTGTAGTCCAGGAGAAATGTGGATGAATTAGCCTGAGAGACGAGAGAAATCTCTTATCTGGAGAGGACGAAGAAGAAACAGGGAGAGAATTGGTATATAAGGAAAAAGATGTGTTCTGAGGCTCTGTGGGTGGTGGAGAAAAATGTGTCCGCGAGGCAAAGTCACCCCAGTCCTTCGGATTCATCAGTGAGAAGCGGAACCAGTGACCTCAGGCCACAAGGAAGGGAGCCCATCACACTCCTCATTGCCACTCAGCCCCAACTTAAATATATACACATGGTCCCACTGTCAAGGGGAGAGTATTTTTGCTCCATGCAAATAAATGGAACACACAGGGTGTTCTAGTAGCTTCTCTCAGTGGCCACTTCTGCGAAGTATTGTTCCAGGTGCCCGATGACAAAGATCGCCAAATATTCCCATGATACTCAAGTAGAAGTTGAAAAGTTTAGACTGTAGATTTGGTGAGGGGTGTGCCCTCACCGGGTTCCCTTGGTGAAATCAATGATTTCTGCAGACACTGTAAATGCCCCAATTCTCTAATGTATGTGGCTTTGAAGGCTTGGTCTCAGAGGGGCCTAATTCAACATTTGGCAATCCATTGGAGTATGTGGTACTTGGCATTTTCATTGCTTCATTATTTAAAGGGCAATTCATTATGTGCAATGGAAACAAATAAAACTCTATTTCTGACATTTCTAAATCTGAACCCTGAACTCTCAATAAACCTTCCAGTTTCAAAATAATTATTTAAGCAAAGCCCTGGTGTATTCACTCTAAACCATTGAGGAGTGCTCCTAATGGTTGGTGACACAATCGCTGGTGCTCAGACTTGCGCATTGGAACTTCCCCGAAGAATATTAAATAGTCCCCCTCCGCTACAACCCATTAAAGGCAATCTTGTCCTCACAGGCCTCAATCAAATTTGCACAGCAATTAGTCCTGCACAGGGTTTGATACATTTCTTAATTATAAAACAACTTTGTACTCTATTGGCCCTTTCAGATGGGTTAAGAGAACATTAATTACCTCCTCCTGAGACATCAAAGAGTTTGGTGTTTTTTGTTTTTTTGTTTTTTTTTTTAATCCTCATCTTAGGGCTGAATAAAGCAAGACGTATGGAGGAACTAACATCTCTTGAGCACCCACTACGCGTTAAAGTTCTGTTTGGGGTGATGTACGCGTGCGGCAATAAGCTTATGGGTAAATCATTAATCCTGTTTTGCAGATGAGAAGAACACATTTGGAAAAGTGAGGTCACCTGTGGTTGGTCACTTTGCTAGGAAGTCTGCCTGCCTGCCTGCCAGTCAAGTTTGGTGTCATAGTTGAGGGGGACTGAGGGGGATTCCCCTTACTTTTAAAAAAACATGACTATTATTACCCATCACGCATTTTTGAGCACCATCTGTATGCCCGTGTGCTAGGTGCGGTGAAGCATATAATGACTGGGTCCCTGTTCCCGGGGCAGACATCAAACAAGTCCTGTGTCCTGCGTCCATCAAGCCAGCCCGGGGGCCTGGGGAGTACACAGCAGGGAGCAGCCGGCTCTGGCCCGGTGGGTGCCGCCCGAGAGTTCCCACAATCCAAGGTGGCGCTCCCCGGGATCCAAATCCGTGGAGATCGCCACCTCTCCCTTTCACCCCGGCCGTAGGCATCGCGCGGGGGAAGGAAGCCAAAACGTGGCCGCAGCCGTCCCCGCCAGGAAGAGCACCGAGGCATTCCCGAGTCAGAAGACGCCAACCGCTTTCTTTCGTGCGCTGGACTCCGGCAGCGCAGCTCCGCGCCCTGCGCAGCATCCCTCCCCCACCTCCAGCCAGACGAGATTTGTTTTCACTGCAATCTTCCTAAATTGCGCATTTCGTAAGACCTTCAGGAAAAAGAGTCAGGAAATGAGGTTTGGAGGAAGACGAGGAGGAGAGTAGGGGGCCGGGAGGGGAGGCTGGCGGGGGGAAGCCAACTATGGGAGAGCAAGTCTTTCATTATCGCGACCTGTTAGGCGCACATCCTCTCGCTCTCGGCGCGCCACCCTCTCGCTGGATGCGAGCCATCCTCCGGGCTAATGAGCAGAGCGCGGGAGATCACTAATCCTAATGCAATTACCGCTCGCCATTACGCTGGGAGGTTGGAGGCGCTCCCCGTGTGCCCCCCAGCCGGAGACGGGCTCGTGCAGATGTGCCTGCGCCTCCCGTCCTAGACGTTTTGACAGCTGTGCACAGTGCCGGGCCCCCTCCCCCTGCCGGCATCCCGGGGGAGTGATCTTGGAACCGCCAGTGCCCCCAGCAGCCCGTCGGAGGCGAAATGCAGTCGCAGCAGCTGGAGGGGCGCGGGGAGCCCGGCGGCGCGCTGGCTGCGGGGCGCGGCGCGGTGCCCGCAGCTCCCCCCTCGACCTCGCGCCCCGCCCCCCCCGCCCCCCCCCGGCTCCCCCCCCCGCCGCCGCCGCGCCCCCGCCTCGCCGCTTCCGGAGAGCCCCGCGCCGCGGCAACTGCAGGGCGAAATTACCGCCCGCCGGCCGGGCCCTCTCCTGGCCGCGCTCGCGCTCCCGTGATAGGGGGACGGTTTGCAGTACACATGTTCCTTTGTTTGGCCCGACCACGTGCTCTGTTTGCACAGCCGCATGTGGTACCACTGGAGGAAATCGAACCAACACTGAAAGTTCAAGGAACAGCCAAGCTCTGCTGGGAAGCGGCTGGGCCAGGGGCCGGGTGAAGGGATGGAGCGGGAGGCAGGCCCGGCTCCCTCCCTGAGAGGCCCGCGGCGGGGAGGGGGGGGGGGGGGACGCGGGGCAGGACTGTTCTGGGTGAAGGGGACTGCAGGTCCCCGCAGAGCACACGCTCGGTGGGTGGGAGGGAGGGCTTTCTGCAGTCGCCAGCCAGCCCTGCCTGCCTTGGGAAGTGGACTTGGATTGTGATAATCATCGCTTGTATTTGAAAGAGCTTTATAGCTGGTAAAGGCTTCTCACTACCTTCATCTCATTTAATCCTTAAAAAACATAGGATGCCAAAGTGCCTCTCCTTCTTGGGGTAGAGAGGGAGAGGGGAAAGGCCGGAGCCCCTGAACCCTTGACCGAGTGGTCTGACCTTCCAGGCGGCCAGTGGGTCGGGCTCCAACTATGATGGCAAAATGCAGGAGACAGGGATCATTTGTCTCCCTCGCTCTCCCTCCTTTTGCCTCCCTCTCCCTCTTTCTCCTTCCCTCTCCCTTCCTCCCCATCCTTCTCTCTCTCTAATTACAGAACAATACACATTTGTGGTTAAAAAAATTCAAACAATTCAGAAATGTACGAAACATAAATGTACAATATAAAAAGGGAAAGTTTTCCAAATCCACTTTCCCAAATATAGTCATGGTAAGATGTTCAGTCGTTTTCTTATTTTTCCATGCATGGCTGAACATATTTATGCAATTTATAAATACTTGCATCTTAAAAAAAAAAAAAGGAGGGGGGATCTTGCTACACATGCCATTCAGTTAAATCTGTTCAATTTAACAATGTATCAAAGACTATATCTTTCCCAAACAGAATATATAAATCTAGACCACTTTTTAACAGCTGCATAGTATTTCTTTGTATGAATGTATCATTATTTAATTGCATAATCAGATGGTTTTCAGTTTTTATTTAAAAAAAGCCAAACTAAACATATATGACATATATGAATATACATCATATATGGATATATATCAATATATATGAATATACATCATATATGAATATATACCAATATATATGAATATATATCTGTATATAAATATACACTGTACATTGTGAAAGTATTATTTTAGGATGAGTTCCTAAAATTTCTAATCCGAAACAGCACTGGGTCAAAGGTAAGGCACATTTTAAATTTCAATAGACACGGCCAAATCGTTCAATAAAAGTGTTGCACTAATTTACAATGCATGTAAGAAAGTTAACTGTTACTGTATGACATTACTGTGTGAAACCTAACTGCCTTCCACTCATACCTGACCTGAGCATTTGTAAATCTTTTCAATTCTTGTTCATGCAACAAGATAAAAATCTGATATTTTAAAAAGTGAACTTGAGAATATTTCTAATAATATTTTTACTGGCTAATTGCTATTTTTCTTCTATAAATTGTATCTTCTGCCCATTCTCTTTTGGTTTACTTCTCTTTTCTTATTGATTTGAAGAAATTCCTTTGAATACTTTGCAAAGATTTTTCCCAGTTCATTTTCTACCTTTCGATTCTGTAATACAGAAATGTGAAATGCTTAAAATAGTCAAATTGGCCAATCTTTATCTTTATGGTTGATAGGTTTCATGCCATGCTTAGAAAAACTTTTTCAAACCTCCAGAAAATTAAAATATTCTGCTGTATTTCCTCTTAACATTTTTATGATTGTTTCCTTATTTTATTTAGCAGATTTTTTAAAAGATTGATTTATTTATTTTAGAGAGAGAGAGCACAAGCAGGAGGAACGGAGGGAGAGGGAAAGAGAATCTCAAGCACACTCCATGCTGAATGTGGAGCCTGACGAGGGGCTCGATCCCACAACCATGAGATCATGACCTGAGCCAAAACCAAGAGTTGGATTCCCAGCTGACTGGGCCACAAAGGTACCCCTTATTTAGCAGATTTTTCCTGAGCAAGTAATATATGCCAGACCCTCTTTTAGAAGCCAGATATGTATACATAGTTCCTAAATTCATGGAATTATTTTCTAGAGAGGGAGATAGACAACAAACAAACAAATGAATGAGTAAGCAATTACAAAATTCAAAGTACTATGACAAATTAATGGAGAATAACAGAGAAAATAATTATAGAAGGCGAAATTTAAATTAAGCTCTGAAAGATGACGGCCAGATATTGAGGTGAAGATCATTCCAGGCAGAAGGAACAGTATATGCAAAGGCCCTGAGGAGGAAAATAATTTGGAGTATATGAGGAACTTAAAGAAGATCAGTGTGACTTTAATACTGTGAGCAATGTAGTGAATCAGAAAATAAAGAGACAGTGAGCCTGGGTGGCTCAGTCAGTTAAGCGTCTGCCTTCGGCTCAGGTCATGATCCCAGGGTCCTGGTATCAAGCCCTGTGTCAGGCTCCCTGCTCAGGGGAGGGCCTGCTTCTCCTTCTTCCTCTGCCTGTTCCCCCCCCCCCCCCCTTGCTTGTGCTGTCTCTCATGCTCTGTCTCTGTCAAATGAATAAATAAAATCTTTAGAAAAAAAAAAAGAAAATAAAGAGCCTTATAGACCAAGATGAGGAAGAAATTAATGGGAGACCCAGGTAAGGAATCAATTTTATTCTAAATGCAGTGGGATGCCACTGAATAGTGTAAGGGGGGAAAAAGTATCTGATTTATGTTTGGAGTTATCTAAAAGAAAGTTCTGCTTCCTGGAGAATGATGTAAAGAGGGTAAGAGATGAAGCAGGGATCCAGGAAGGATTGTGAGGGAAAAGGATGGTGGCTTGCTGGATAGTGATCAGGGTGGATAGGGAGATGGGAAGATTCAAGAACCATTTGAGAGGACATTGACATGACTTGCTGATGGAGCAGATGCAGGCGATGAGAGAGAAGCAGGAATTAGCATGACTTCTAGGTTCCAGTTTGAGTAATTGGGTGGAGGGTGGTACCATTTTTGAGAAGTGGAGATTGGAGACCGATGGAGGGAAGTCTAGGAATCATTTTCTACATGTTGAGTTTGAGATTATCATGAGATACTCAAGTGGATCTATCAAGTAGGTGGTCAATGACACAAAATCGGAGTGGGAGAGAGGATTAAGTAAGAGGTCATAATTTGAACATTGCTGGCCATTATGCATTTCAGTCCAGGAAAAGAGTATACAGAGAGGAGCAGAGGTCCTGGCCACAAGCCCTGACGAACTTCCCTATCTGGCGTCGAACTGAGGAGAAACCAGCAATGTAGAGGGAAGAGTGGTCAAGGAGGTAAGGCAGAGACCCAGGAGAGGTTAGCTCTCAGAGAGGAAGAAAGGAGGAATAGTCAACACCATCAAATGTTGAGGAGAGGCACCATAATATATGAAGACCGAAAAGAATCCATTACAGTTGACAACAAAGAGCTTACTGATAATATCGGCAAGACCAGTGTGAGTAGAAGAAGGAGGTAGAAGTTGTAATTTGAGAACCACGGCAACCTCCCGGAGAGAAAACTTGGAATTTAATAGGAGACTTCTGTAGATATAATGCCTTCATCTGGTGTTTCTCAAACTCTGCTGGGCATTAGACTCCTCTAGTGAAACGTGCAGTTGCCTGAGCCCCAACCCCAGAATCTGACCCAGTGGTCCCAGGGTCAGTATTTTAAATAAGTTCTTCAGGCGATTCTGATAAATAGCAAAGTTTGAGAATCACTGCTTTGACCCAAGGATCAATTTCTCAGAATGGAATTTCAGATTCTATGTCTGTTGGAAAGAAGAAAGATTTAAGGACAGAAGGCCTTTCAGTATCTTTCAGATCATATCACATAAGCAGCTGCCTACTCTTTTATGAAAATAGTGACTGCACAGAAAAATACATCACTTGGCATTGTACTGAGGTGTTTTAACCTGAACATAAAGTGGACTCACTGAACACAAGTTGAACTCCCTACTTCCCCTGCCTGTTGGGATATAACTATGGGTTGACTCAAATAGCATTCACAGGTGAAATTCCTTTTTTTTTTCTTTTTTTAGTAAAGGTCTGCCCAGAATTCAAAAATGTTTCTTATTCCATTGTTCCTCTAACCGACTAGATGGTCTAAGACTGAAACCACCTCCTTAAAGGCAAAACAACTCCTGGTTTGGGAACTCAGTCAACTCCCTTTGATTTAGCAACTCAACTCCAGGCAAGCACTTTTATATACATTAATGAATCCTCAAATGAACCTTTTGAGGCAATTACTTTTATTTCTATTTTATGGATGAAAAGCTGTAACTAGAATAAATGGAACTGAAATCAGTTATTAAAGACATCTCAAAAATAGCATTCCTTGGCTATGAGTAGATTTGACTCTGTTATCCCAATTATGGAAGGCAAAATGGGTGGCTCCTTGCCCATGAGATTCTGGTATTTGCCTATCCTTACCCTCTTGGCTCTGCTGTGTAGATCAGATTGTTAACAGTCTAGACTCCATCATCAGCTGGATTTTTATTCTTTCCCAACTTGGACATGGAACATGATATCATGGAATGCATAAGCATGAGCTCTAGGGGTCAAATTCAGGCTCTGTCCCTTAGTGATCCTGTTGCCTTGGACAAGTCTCTTAGCCTTTCTAGGCTTCATTTTCCTCATGTGTAAATCAAGGAGCTCTCAAAAAAAGAACCCCAGTTCTGCCCAAATGTCCCATAGGATGTATTCCTAAAATCCGTTTTGGGGGAGGTACTGCTGTCTCTTCTTCCTCTCTAACCCCTGATGGTGTTATTTCAACCATGTTCTGCCCCTCTCCTGAGTTCCTCAGAGCCACCTCTCTTCATAAGATCTTAGTTTGGATCCTGAAAGAGAAGGTGTGTTCAACCCCATTTCTTTCTAAATCTGGGATTAATACAGACACAGTTACCCTGGAAAATTGAGGAAAGAGAAGGGCCTTGCCAAAATTAACCAACTTCATAATTAATTCATATTCAAGTCTCTAGGATCTAAAAATACAATATTTTTCACAACATCCCTAGTACCTGGTCATGTAAATAATGGCTGGGTACTTCTAAAGTTGGACAACTCCAGAACAGCCCAATCATTCCATAGCTCTACTAGAAACGTCTTCCTAATGTCCATTAAATTCTGTCTCCTACCGCTTTCACCCTACCCTTAAGGACTGTAAAGAACTTAGCCTAAGTTAACTTTAGCAAAAGCTGGCAGCGACTTCTTGAGTTTTCTCTCTCCCAGCTACATATCCTCAGATCCTTCAGTTAGTCCTTACATAATACAGTTTTTGGTTTCTTCGTCATCGTGTCTATCATTCCCAAATACATTATTTCTTTCCCTTTTAAAGTGGGCTACCCAAAATGAATGCGAAGGTGGGCTATCACCAGCACAGAGAGCAAACTTACCCCACCCCTGTTCCAAACACGGCTTCTTTTACCCAATTAACATGATATGCATTTAGATACACCCACAAGGTTTGTAAGGTGGAAGGGAGGTGAAGTCCATTTCCCTCCATTCTGCTATTGCCAGTGGCAAGTACAGCTGTAGGGACTTTGGGATTTTTGTGCAGCAAAATGAAGTTTCCCAATCACCAGATTTATGAGTGATAAAGACAGTTGTGAAGACATCTGAAGCGGCTTCCTGATTCCAGCTTTAAAGTCAATAGCTCCAGTGGGAGCCTCCTGATTCTCTGATTATGGCAGAAGTAGAAGCTCCCCGGGCCAGCCAGATCCACAGTATTGTTCCTGGAGGCCCACCCTAGAGCTTGCTCCTCCAGCACCTCCAATAATTCCGGAGGTACCTAATTCCTTGTATGAAATCTCTTACTGCTTAAATGGATACAGTGCCTTCTGTTCCCTGCAACTGTATGCTACCAGATTTGGCCAATGAGGAGGATTTCACAAGACGGAAAACATTATAAAAATTTAAAGTGTTGATTTGTATTCACATGTATGTGGTATCCTTGGGACTGGAACTGGATGGACAGATGGTGGGACCCGTGGATGGATGGACTTAAGATACACTATCTATATGTTTATCCCATAAAGTCGCAGGGTACCAACCCTGGCTGGCATCTATATTACTGATCAAGATATGTAGTTTGTCCACAATTCTAAATCCTACTGTTTTGATCAGGACTTATGATTACGAGGGACAGAAACACAACTCAAAACAATGTAAGCAATAGCTTAAGAGGTGGATTCATAATAATCCAACAGCAGAAGGGGTAAAAGTTGGACATGGCCTCAGGGACAACTAAGCCAAGGATCAAATGTTCTAAAAAGTCTGTCTCTTCATCTCTCATCTCTTTCTCTCCGAATACTAAATTTATTCTCTCAAAATATTTTACCTAACAGGGTAGGGTACCTGGCTGCCAGTTACTCTAAATCTGTATCCCAAATGCTCCAAAACCAGAGGTATAAATAAAGGCCCTCTTCTCCCCAGTGAAAGTGGAAAAATCCCCAGATAAAAGTTCTGAACATGGTTTGGATCCTCTGCCCATCCCAGGGACCAGTCACTGTGGTCTGGGAGTGAGGTACTAGGAAGAGCCCCACCTGGATCATGTGATCAACACAATCACCTCTGTGGCCAGGGGAGTGGAGTCTATTAGCAGGGGGAAAGCAAGAGAATAGACACTGAGCAGACAGCAATACTCACCCCCAGACCTGAAATGATCTGAATGATTTACCAACTGCAGCTGTTAGGCTTTCAGATGTTAACTCTTCTCAGAGGATTTAAAACCACCTACATGACCACTACATTGAGAAATCTGTCTCTGTGTTACTACTCTGATGAACATGTTTCTGAAAGATTTCATCCATGGAGGATTTTGAAAATAAGGCATTTATCTCAAGGTCAGTTACTTGGGCACATCAAACATTTAGAATCTAGAAATAAGGAAAAAAATCACCTTTGAATAGGTAGAAGAGGGAGTTTAAAAATCAGGGTGTAGGGATGATGAAAAAATTCTGGAAATAAG